GTCTTCATGGTGTCCATTGTAAGGGTTGGGTGAAATTCTAACGCAATAGCATTTTACCGTTAATTTCATGTGCACGTGAGGTTTCAGCGTAATATAGTTATATGCTCCTTTCACTAATGCTCCGTATTCATGCCAAGATTCGTACAAAGCAATAAAACTCTTCCCGAGCAAAGATGGCTCCCTTTAAAAGTGCACAAAAAGTCTGAAAATTGTCCAAATGTGGCGCTTGTTCCTCTAAGCATCGATGTTTCATGTCTATATGTAGTAATAGATATGCCAAACTTTGTTTTTCAGTGTTTAAAATCAGACAACCTTGCCGTTAATTTCCCCCACGAATACTGTAACGTCTTGGGTTCCCATTTGCTGAACTTACGTATATTAAATCCTGACAACGGATGACGTGGATAGTAGCTTGTTCTTACAATGTGACCCGATCCTACAAAATCATTTCTTTCTTTTTTTTGGTTACTTTCGTTTTTAAATTTTTACCGTCTCGTTTTAATTTCTTGTGCAGTTGACCGATCATTCTGAGCTTTTCACTTGGAGATTTTGGATCGAACATCCCTTCCCATTGATTACCAATGCATGGGCTTTGTTTGAAGACCTCTCCCTCAAAAGTATCTTTGACGATTTGCGACTTATTTTGGAAGGCTGAATCACATTTTGGGCAGCATATTAGACCATGGGGAGCATGCTTCAGAGAAACACGCCACACGCACGTCATTCATTTTCAAATACATGAAGATAGTGGAGTGAGATAAGCAAACCAAACTTCCACTCAGAAAATGCAGGTTACCAACCAAAAGTAGTAGATCAGTTCTGACTGGTTCATGGCCGATTTCTGCTACGCACATGATCGCTTAGCAATAGCTTGGCAGCTATGATGTTGTACGATGCGGGTTCTAGTCCCACGTGAAGGTTACGTTGGTTGCGCGTAAAAAGTGCACGGGAGAGACAATTTGTTAATATGAAAAACCCAGCCTCCATTCTGCAGTCAACGGTGACTCCGATCTATGGAATTAGCCCGTCGCGCCAAGATTGTATTATCGATTTGGAGTCTCTACAGGGGCTTAAGTCTCAGAATATGTTACAGTCATAATGGCGTTAAGATTAATAATGTGCGTTTGAAAGTTGTGCGAAAAGTGGTTTATAAATGACTATTGTAGTTTGTCTCGAAGGGACATTTATGATTTTTTAACCATTTGTTAGGTAGTTAAATATACTTATTTACCTAGAAAATAGAATTCACTCAACACCACTAGTAAGAGATTGTGTTTGGAAGTATGAGATGAAGTTGATTGAAACAAAGAAAGAAATTTGCTGCAAGATATATGTCACTAGAACAACATGCCTATTCATTGTGAAAACGAACTGGAATGGCCGTTCACGTGACAATGAATTGAATGCAATTTCTCAAACATGTACAGAAAAGCTTAGATCTTTTCTCGTTTATTCCCAATTCTACTGTCAATTCTAAGCTTTGGACGCAGAGCTTTTTCTGCGTCACATAATTTAAGATGTGATTTGACACCTTGGATTTTTTTATCAAATCATTTGAGACCTTATACTGTCATTCCAGAAAACAGCAATCCAACTCTTACCAACAAATCAAACCTAAATAAAAACCACACAAAACGTAAAATCACACAATACTCCCTGGAAATCTTCGGTGTCATGGTGAAGAATTAAGGGCAGGGAGTCAGTTGCGGGGGGGGGACTGAAGATGTGCTCCAGGCCTCTTTTGATGCATCTTCAGGACAATTGGATTCCTGTCATGTGTTCACCCGCGTCCTCCGCATGCAGAGACACAGATCCCTGGCCCGCTGAGATTCTAGATCAATTACCCTCTTCGATTTTCCTCCTTCGTGCTCCCGCGGCCGAATGGGCCCAAGCACCATTTTGCCTTCGGAGATAAACTCGGGATCAAGAGAAGAAGAAGACTTCAGTGAAAAAAAAAAAAAACTGGACCGAATTTTGATGAAGGTGAAACGAGAAGTGAGACACCCCTCCTGTGGGCTTACTGCACGTGGGGATATCTCCGCTCGCTGCCGCCCCCCGCCTGCCTGGGCCAACAGTCCCGGTAGAAGATGGGGAGGAAGCGTTGGAAAGCGCCTAGGGGAGAACTTATTCTCAAGCGCAAACTTCTCTCGATGAAAAAAAAAATCGAACATGAGAGCCAAGAAAACTGTCGACTGTTTTGGCATGATCGGGCCATAATCTGCGTGTTGTTGATGCTAAGCGTGCTTGAAGAAGTAGACATGCAACGTGGGCCCAGGGGCAGGTCGTGGTTTTCTGTGATTCCTATGAGTGAAAAAATATGAAGGCAGACATCTTTTCTCAACTTTCATAATCATTTTTACATCTTGAGCGTCAAGGAAGCTATTAAGGTGAGCTGTTTTAAGTGCTGAAGTGTTAGCCTTCAGCTGCAGGGGTTATTATCCCGTGACGTCTCTGAAGAGCGGTCTCTCGTCGTATATTTTGGCTTTAGAGCCTCCCCCCGCTCCCGGTTTATGCGACAGGATGCTGCAGCAGAAAGGAACGGCCGCGGGGGAGACTACGGTTTGGGCTTTCAAATGAGTAATTTGCCGTTTAGGACGGCTTCCTTCCCTCGTCGCGACGCCGTTCGGCCAGCGGTGGGTTTCGAAGTTCGCTTAAAACAAAAAATCACCCCGGGCTTAATCTGGCCAAGAAAGATGAGTAAAAGAGATGTCGATAATGATTTTAGTGTGGGTGAATTTTACGACTCTATTGCATTTCAGAGACAAGACACGACGGATGAAAGATCATCCCTAAAGGCCTCCCGGTAAATCCTATCTAATTGCTCGGAACGAGTGACACACTTTCAAGGGGAAAGTAAACACAGACTCGAGAATATTTTTCAATTGTCAATATTACTATTTCAGAACCGACTTTTGTCTTTTTTATCTTTTTTTCTGGCGATAATTAGACGTGAATATAGCTACATTAAGTATAATGAAGTGCTACTTAATATAAACAATAATATTTTGGTTCAAGAAATAATATTAAATCTTAACAAATACAAATAATGTTCCACGTGTCGCCCATTCACGCAGTCAAACACGTAAATTAAGCATACACTTGTACAAAATCGAATTTTAGATTACGCCGCCCAAACCAACTTCAATCATAAGCAGAGGTTTAATCCACTTCACATTGGAAAGTAAGATCTCTGCAGGATTTCGACAATGATAATTTTTGTGTATAGTACAAATTCAACTTAAAGAAAGTGTTGAACCAGGGAGTTTGCAAAATGTCTGACCATGTGAGGTAAGGTAATATTTCAAAAGGGGAGATATTCCCATGGCATTCAATGGTTTATTCTTTTTTGGTGTAACTAAGTTGCTATCTCCCTCGATACCACGGCACGGACTTCATTCCTTCGTTTCTTCTTGAGCATTAATATCGTCCCTCCGATTCAGAATCTAATGAACGTCCACCTCGAATGCAGCGAAATCAGTGAAACTCTCCCCATTTTGAATGGTATTTTTATCCATAAAAGAGACTTGGCTAGGGTAAGAATACTTGTTTGTTTCACAGCCAACTGAAATTGCGATGGAGATAAACACCACAAACCACAACTCAGATACTCCGTGTTTGAACACAGCACTGATTTTAAGACTCGGTGACACTACACCCATGCAGCCCTAATGTTATACTTCCATGATATCGCATCTGTGTAGCAACTCCGAAGAAAATGTCTTGATAATAACAAATCTACATTATGTAAAAAAGAGTCTGCGAACCAATTCAGATTTACTTATGTCATCATATATACACGATAAACATCACCAGGTTTTAGTTATAAACACGGCCATTTTATTTACAAAACATCACAAATGTATTCTGCTCTGTCAAGCACGTAGGGAAAAAATTGCAATGACAAAACTCCAATAATTTGGCACCCTTTCCAAGTCCAGCTTCGGCCTCCCAGATCTGCCCATTGCTCTAGATTGTGTCCCTCAAACAAGCACAAAAGGTGCAAACTAAGCAATAAATGCAGTTTTAGTGAGGAGCACCTTAACGGTCGGAACCTTGCTACGGCTTTCGTCATTTGCCATAATTTTGCATCCTACCTAAAGCATGTCCTGGGTAAAAGGATCGAAGACATCCCTGAACTATTCCACGACAACGCCTCTAGCATTTGCTTTCTATAAGAATAACCGGGTGCCACTTGATGACAACGAAACACTCCATTTTAAACACCTATCAGATCAGTTGATTAAATCACACAATGTACAGTTCCCTGTCTCAAATAATTATGTAAGTACGGGCTTGGGAATTGAATTCCGTAAAGGCACCCAGCAAACTCCATGAGGTATTTCTTATTTTCTTGGCTACCAATGAAAATCAAGGAGATGACTTGTGTACACAGAATAACAGGATCCCAAGAATCAGATAACACATGACACCATCTTATGTCAATCCTATAATATTTGTTCTTAATCAACATTAGTCATTCACTAGCATTCGATTGTATTGACGTCTAAAGCTAAGTCAAAGCTCATTCGAATTATTTTGAACATCGAAAAAGTAAAAAATGAAACTCCATCCGAGGTCATGGTGCATAAGTTACTGTCTTTTACTACAGCTACACAACCGACATCTCTCATCATGTTGCAATTTCAAACAGTCCCTATTATTTCAGAGTAAGTATTGACCGATTTTAGGCAAGAGGATAGAGGGGTGTCTCGGATTGACAAACACGATCGAACGAGAGAGAGAGTGTGGAAGGGGATGAACGAGCAAAGAAGAAACTAAGGACAAATATTTTTCTTTGCCGAGTACTTGGTGGCAAGCGGGCAGAGGGGACATGTTTGGCCGGGGCTTTGTAGCCAGGAAGCTGGGCAAACACTTCCTCATTGTCCGCATGCTCGATTGATTACGGAGACCGTAAGTCATCCCCTTGTATGCCGGAGCTTATAACCGGTGGGAAAATAAAAAAGAGGACTTGGAGAGGGTGTTATCAAACAATGGCTCGGTTTTTTTTTTGGTGGGGCTGGGCTATATTGCGGAGGCCTTTGAGGGCACAAGAGGACTCATCAAAACAAGAAGAATGACGGTGTGAATTAGCGGTGTTCTCTTGGGGTATCTTTGGCCTATCGAGGCTCCGTCTTTTGTCAAGGGGTAGAATAAGAAGACCACCAAGCCACTGTCTCTGAATGTGACCCTTTGCCCAAATCGCATTTTGCACCTATTCACCGCTCACACCTGTCCAGCATTTTACGGGGAAGGGAGCAGAAAAGGCTCCATAGTGTGCGAGCAGAAAATAGGGTGGATGCTAATTTGAAATGAAATACAATTAATTCGGCTGATGTCTGTAAGACCACGCTGGCTCAGATGTCAAAGGAGATGGCTTTTTACTACGTAACACCCTTAACTTAAAATTGGTCATCTTCCTCATCCTCAACGCGAAAGAGTGAAACCGAGATTAGGATACGCCTGTAGAAACACATTCAAGACCTTTACCGATAGGGTTCTCCTGAACAGAAAGTGACTGCATGCCTTCTAAAAAAAGTAATGCATCACAGTGCAGAATGTAATAGACTAGATGTATAGTCATGTGTCGGACATCTTGAAATAAAAATGAGGTTAACTTTTCATTCTAATAACAGGAACTAAATAAAAGGTCATTAAAAAGTCATGCCAGTTTAGGCTCAGGATAACTTAAAATCTGTGAAATGTTTTATCTAAATGTTTAAGCCACATTGAAAAAAAAAGGGGAAAGTGAGGCTTGGAACCCAAGATAATCTGGCATCATCCCATAACAGATTACACTCAATATGACAGATTCAAGGAGCCAGATCAAAAAATGGCTTCCCTGTGAATAAGGTCTTTTCAAAATGTTTCTTTTTGTTCCGTGGTTGTGAAATATGAACTGAAAGCCTACACCGACAGGGGCCCGACGTGTGTAATGTTGCCTACTTTCTAGACCTTATCTCATTGCAATCTGTTTTAGGGAAGTACCACAACAGCAAAAACTGGTTTATTCCTTTATTTCCCCAAATGAACTGAAACAGAACAGCATAATTTCTTTTAAGTGATTGTGGAAATGATTTCAGTTCTGAAAGCTTTATCTTAACCTAGCTTGTTAAATATACATGTAGATCTTTGGTCTACTTGTTGGTTTTTGTTTTGTTTCTTTGTACGAACACTGTTTAGTGATTCACACAAAGCCATCGGTTCTTGGTTTTCGGATACGACGACTGCATGTCCTTTTAAGGGATCTTTAGTCAGGGTAACAAATGTCAAAAGCCTCGGACATTTCAGGAGTACCAGAGGCACATGTGTGCGAGGCGATTTTCCATGTCATTAACCACGAACCAACCCATCGAAGTGTTGTACACTGTCCCTTGCAGCTGGGCAAATCCTTCCCCAGAACCACGATAGCCTAAGCGGACGGACGCTAGGACAGTCCGTGCTCAGTCAACCGGCGAACGAGGAATCCATCCAAGACGTGGACAAAAACGAGGAAGGGACTTTGTCAAAGAGCACCGGCCATCCAGCAAGGGCAACACCCACGCTCTCCGCCAAGGGGAGCAAAGACATTTTAGTATGTACAGCAGGTAGGTGACATCATTTAATCAACCAATAGTTGATACGGTGTTGTTTGAAATACTTCGTGCGTATCCGTTTGAACACACACCGGGATTGAGGGTTTCACTTCCTTGCTCGATGGGCAGGCAAAAATTCAGGGTGCAGATCTGGATCTTCACCATGTCCAAGGCTGAGCCATCGAGCCTGAGTATTGCATATTGTTCGACATGCCTGAAAAGGTACTGTAACTGCTGTAGGGCGCGGCAGCGTAGCTGCACTGTGAGGGGTAGGCCTGCATGTGCTGCAGGGGTGGCGGGGCAGTGGCCGCTGTAGTGGCGATCATCTCGTGGTGTGACTTAGGCCCCATGCAGGGCGCCGCGGCCATGGCCGCGCTGGCGGCACCGTTCATACCGGCCCCACACGGCTTCCCGTCCCGAACCAGGACCGGCACGGCCACGCGCCGAGGGGACGGCAGTGGATTCATGTCCAGTCCCTTCTCCTGGCGGGAGCGCTTCAACTTATACCGGTGGTTCTGGAACCAGATCTTGACCTGGGTTGGGGTCAGGCGGATGATGCTGGCCAGGTGCTCCCTCTCCGGGGCTGACAGGTACCGTTGCTGGCGGAACCGCCGCTCCAGTTCGTAAGTCTGGGCCTTGGAGAAGAGAACCCGCCTCTTCCTCTTCTTCGGGGGGTCGGAGGAAGACGAGTCCTGGTTGGCCGACTCATCATCGTCGCTGCCGCTGCCACTCAGATTGCCGTTGCTGATGTCTGTGGTTACAGGCGGAGAAGTCTTGTTGGAAGTCGTGGTGGTGTTGACGGTGCTGGAAGTGCTTTTAGCTGAAGTGGAGTTCGGTGAATTGGCTGTCTGGCCGAGAGCTTTAAAAGAAAACAGACAAAAACCAATCAAGAAACAACCACTCAGAGTATAAGGAAACAATCGGTTAACACCCAGGGGTTGTTAACTTCATTATGTACACAAGCACAGCGTTTTTTTCTCTTTTTTTGCTTTTTTAACCAAGTGACTCCGGTCGTATCGCGCTGAGACTTTACACCCCAGTACAAAAGACATCGTCGCAGGTATACCGGTTTTCTTGGCTAGGCAAATAGACAGAAGACATCAATATACGAGTCAAGTTGCTTAAACAGTGACGCGGCTCTATCCGTCAGGGAGAACCTGGCGTTTACCGAACGTGAACGGCATAATGCGGCGAAGGCCCACAGAATTCAATCCACGACACATTACAGTCGCCAGCGCCCTGCCGTAAAGACCGCCGTCCCCCCGTGATGGATCACCCGCAATCTTATAACCAAGCCGGGGACTTATTTTCAGGGGCGATCATGGTCGCCCGTGTACACACACCGGTGTCACCGCGCGAAGGACTTCGCAGCCGGGCAAGGCTCCGGGCTCCAGTATGTTTGCTCACCACGGGGCAAATATAATTAATTAGGGAACGAGCACAAAAGCGATCATTAACCGCCAGAAATTAGTGGGAAATTTGAAAATGAAATCAGGGGATGTCCGTGGAGAAATACTGTCGTCGGGAACAGCTGGGGACGCTAACATTTTTATCACAGAAAATGGTAAAACAAACAATTTCATGAGTGCATGAACTGTTCTTGAATGACAAAGCGAAGAAACATTGTTTTCTTTGGTACAGGTGAAATTTACGTATTCGCACGGGGGGATGTGTCCCCTTAATGGAATCTTCAATGACAATGAAACAGCTAGTTGATATATAGCATCTGTGCATGACCAACATGCAAAATTACCCTTTTCATCATTTTTTAGAGAATGCAGAGAACAGTAATTTATCCGAGTCATGGCTCCAGTGAGTGACTCAACAAAAAATAGAGATATTTCAAGTCTGGAACAGCAAGTTCATGTGATGGAACACAAGAAGCAAAACTATCAGAGAGGACTATTCCATAACTGTCTATAAAAGATGTTTAGATATACATGTACATGTATTAAGAAATGGCGGTGGTGGTTGTAATTTTTTTCACATGGAATTTACGAAAGGAGTTTGGTCGACAAATGATTCCTTGTGTGCAGATGTAGCCAGGTAACTACATTTATAAATACGGCGAGCGAACACCCTTGCATGCTCGATCGCAGACCCATTCAAACCTCTGGTCCGCTACATAACTAAACAATTTTAGGGACATCGTGGTGGAGGTGAAACAAAAGCGTTGTGGCGTTCGTCTTTCTCCTAAGAGTACGCTATTCTGTGACCAATATTTGATTGATTGGCAGGCAGATCACGCCCAGATAACCTTGGTTGGCAATGACCCAATTTAACTCAGCTCAGTTGACAAAAAAAATGTCATGAAAGAAATGCTTGACTCGAAAAATCAATACCATCAGGCAGTCAAGCTAGCACGAACTAGAACATTTTACGAGTGTCAAATAAAGGAAGGGTACATTGTAATTCCAAAGCCACGATCTGGTAACCTTTTCACGTAAGGTACTGGTAAATGCACTTGAGCCGCGCCGACTACTCAAGAGAGCATTTCTTCAGACTTTATAGGTGCATGTTATATTCTTACAGATCAACGTGTATGATTTCGGAGTTAAATTGCAAGCCTATAGTGTGACAGGCTCCGCACCTTTCACTCCCTCGTCCGCACCGTGTTACAGTGTCGGGTGACAAGCCCGGTAAACCGAGCCAGGACATCGGTTGTAAATTGCCATGCAAAGCGTTCCCGAAGGACGGCAAATGTCGCTGATACGGTCGCAAAGTACATGCCCCGCTTGATGGTGATATAATACACAGAAATCGACCTTTTATATCGAGTGAGTAGCAAAATACTTGCAAAATGTACTTCTTTACTTTAATACCAAAAAGAAAAGATCAAACAGTATACAAGTATAATATTCTGGCAAAATCAAGTCGGCCAAAAAATATGTAGGCCTACCAAGATGAATATTGTATACAGCAATACTTCAAATTGTATTTATATCACAAAACGGGTATCTAATGCTAAGGCATTCTGCAGTGCCTTTAACCCCCAATATTAGCCAAAGTGAGTTTGGTGAAATTTAATCAACGGTTAATTTTCATCAAATAAATGGTGAGGTGTATTAGAAACTCATTATGTATCAAGTGCGACGTTTATACGATCCTAGTACACAGATTAAACAAAATAAAGTTTCTCCAATCAAGAGCACATCCTGGCGTGCACTTGTTATCCCCAACAATCTAATGATCGGGGAATGTCTTCAGCTTACAACAAACTTAAGGAAGACTCAAACGCTATGAAGGCGTCTGGTTCTTATCTATATACAGGGGCACATTATCTAAAACCGAAGATACTCGTGCTTCTCATCATATGAACGGAGGTTTACACTTTTTGAGAGTGAAAAAAAGATACGACTTCTGTGGTGTTGCATCGTCCTTGCTGTTTAGTTTATCAACAATAAGAACAGATTGGGCATTGAGAACGGATAAAGATTTTTCGTTGGTCTTCATCTAAGAACTGGGTCTGGAATGCAGGCAGTAAGATGAGGATCATATCAACGATAAGACTTTCTTCGTTCCAAAATTTGGTAATGGAATCACAGTCGAAACTTTAGAACAATGGTTGCCTGAGAACATTACGGATTATTCCTCTTCTGTGCATTCTGAGTTTCGGAACAGACGTTAACATTGCAAATAAGTACATTTATCCTCTGTGAATTGGTTTTCAGCAGCAAAAGTAAAGATTCAAAGTTCTGTTTTTTGGAGAGGAGGCAAAAAACAGACTTGGAGCAATCTACGAATGAGCAATACTCACAGGAATAAGGCATTAAATCGGAGCCTTGGGTCTGTAACCATCGTGTGTAAGGATTATCACTAGCGTCGTAGAAAGAGTTCATGTTGGCCTGCTCATGGGAGCTGATAGTAGTGGCCCCGTCCTGTAGGGCTACTGTGGGGGAACCACCATTGCCCACACGGCAGGACCTGGCCTTGGTCGCCTCACCAGCCGCCGCCGCGGCCACCACGGCCGCCGCTTGCGGCATGTCCAGTATGTCCTTCACCGAGAAGCTGGTCTTGACGTTCATGGCGATCTCTGTCTCATCCATGGGGGGAGGGGATGTCCACATGGGGGCGCACCGGGGGAGGCAGCGAAGTTCAGGACGAGATGAGAAGCTCACTGAAGTAGGCACGGCACTGGTCCTGTGTCGCACACGTGATAAGCTGGGGAGGAAGGGAAGAAACCGCAAACGGCATGAACGAATCACGGTGACAATAAAGTAAGTTCCTGCGAAGAGGAAGGCTCAATCAAATTTGGGGCATTGATCGGCAGATGCGATCTTGTCCCTAGACTGAGAACCACAACACTGACCGACCGACATACGAGAGGCTTAGTTTAAGAATGACAAACTCCACGGTCTGTCTTTTCGTCTCCGCAGTTTTGCACGAACACACACAACGTGCGCAACAAACGTACGAACGGACGCCGGGAGAGAGCCACGCAGAAGCGAAAAAAAAAAACGCCGGGTGTGTGAGTGTATAATGATTGCACTGCGTGTGGACACGGTGTGTGCGCACGACGACCAATGGCCACAGGCCCGCAGTGGGCGGCGCTTAGAGTCAATTGCCCAAACAAGGTGTTAGCATAAAATCAATTTGTCACCCAACTCTGTGGATAATTTGATTGGTGCTCAAGTACTGCCGTTGACACGGGTGTCAGAGCGGCTTTATTACACCACCCGAGGGTACTGAGGCCGCTCCGAGTCTTTTGTCCCGTGTGGGATGATACCCAGTCTATCCTCATCCAACAAAACACCTGACGAGCTTTTCAACCACCACCCCCCCCACAAAAAGTTTAATGAAACGTGTGTTAATGCCTGCACTAAGCTGTCCATCTCAACGGCTATAGGTTGACCGTGCCAGTTCGGTTTGGATTACCAACGACGACCATTATGCTGTACAAAGTTCCCTTGTCGTCTTTCAATTTGACGAATGCATGGACAGAGTGCTCCGTCCCAGCAGAAAAAAGAAACCACACATAATATGCGACGAGTTTATTTTGGTCAGATAACTGACACCGAGCTTCACAGATGCATCGAGGACTTTCATTTTAGCGAAAGTTCAGCTCAGAATTACAGTCTCAATGAGTTTGCTTAACATGACCTTTTGGTCCATTCTGCGTTTTTGCTATCTACGTATGGCCCCGACGCGGCAAGCGATGTATCTGTGCATGGCCAACATACATGGAGCATTAAATAGAACAATTTCAAAAGTGTTTACAAATGAACTGTACCCCGGAAAATCGACAAACATGGCCTACTTGGAACGAGTCCTTTCGGATGAAAGCCGAAATGCACCCTTACATATCCAATGTTATTATAACAACCGATGACAAAAGACGAAGGATGTTGCTGACTGGATGGCGAGATGTGAATTGGAGGAGTTTCTGAGCGCACCGGTTAAATAGCATTTTCTATAAAAACAAGAGGCCAGCGCACTTACTGGCAACAGAAACATATGTTCAAAACCATATAACAGTCATTTTTATGTTTTTTTTTAAAGCATTCTGTTGCGCTTCGAACAAACCACTTATCTGGACACTTCTGAGCCCGTGTGGAGGATTATTATTCAAAATGCATGTATTTTACGATCAATTATTGGCCTATAAAAAACTGAATTTTCAGAAACACCAGACTTTGGGAATGAGTACTTTCTGCATTTGGCAAAAGGTTGTGCGGCATTTCGACACGATAAAAATGGTAAATTGTCATTGTCTTGCTCTGCAGCGGTTTGAAAACAAAATGCACATATTTGGGGGCAATTTTTCCAAGGTTCTGCTCAACAATTCACCGAAATTTATTAGATACGCAATATTGGAATAAATTTTGCTCAACATTACCGCTTGTTTGTAAAGCACAGCTATGAATTTGTGGATTGTGGATTTTGAACCATGTAGCTTTACGTTTTGTATTGCCTCTCCCACATTTTTTACAAATTTTAAGTCCAAACAAGATTAGGTTTAAGTCCATTAGAATATAAACTTTTCTTGCTGCTTATTATATTTTTGAGATCAAATGATTTTTCTTAAACAAGTAACAAAGAAAAATACAGGAGAGTTGTGTGATTTTTTTGTATTGCTTTGTGATTTAAAAATGACCTTATAAAAGTAGTTAGAAATATCCATCCGCGTTTTCATGCTTCGGTTTTTTTTCCGCGAAATTATACTGAAGTGAACACAAGACTGTGTGTCAACCATCTAAATTTTCGCTCGACATTTAGACACTTATGAGAGTCAACTAGCTTTCCATTTGACTGGGTCTAGCCTTTTAGTCCACACAACTACAAACAGCTTTTGCCTATCATGGTGACTTTACAAGAAGTGAGGATCATCATATATGATGCTTTCAAAGTTGAAGTGCACCATATTGTCATCAATTACTGGATTTAATCATGTACATATCTTCTTCTTTTTCCCCTGATATGTTATCCTTGTGTTTGGACTAGGGCTTGGCTCACTTACACATTTACCCCCCTCGGTGTTAACGAGGGGACGTGTTTAGTGGCAAAATGTACACCAACGTGTATTAATGTTCTGAGGGCTATTTCGAAATATTTTGTCACACTTTGTGAGTTATTCTTTTACTTTTTTACTGACGAACAGCCAAAGTTTGCATAGCAATGAGAAGCAAAAACCGTATGCTGCTTTGATGTAGGAAGAGAAACATTATAGACAAAAGCCTTAAAACCGGAAATCAGGGGAAAAGATACAATTTTATTCCCCTGTGCAATGAAACTATTTGAAATCATTCTATCATCCGTGGTCAAGGTGGAATTGAAACGTACTCAGACTGAAGATGTTCAAGGAATTCAAAATAATTAAAAGCGTGTGTTCATGAAATCATTCGAAATCGTATATCTAATTTCAGCCCTATATAGATCTGTTTGAAGAAACTTCGGAATGAAATTCAACTTGCAAGCCTAAATTCAAAGCCAGCAAGCCAGATTTGTGGTAGATTCCGATCTTGTTATTACTGGGTGGTAGAGAATAGCCCCTGAGTTACCAAATATGATTTTTATTTGTTTAAAGGCAGGGCATTAATATCAAAAGACGAACTGATGACCGTTATCAGAGAGTAAATTTGACATAGGAACTTACTCAGTGAATAAAGAGGGCATACAAAGGCCTCTGGAGGCCAGCCAAGCACGTATACCTGTCACGAACTTAAAAACACACAAGCTAAACAAGAGTATTATTCGTAGATGCTCATCATTACAGCTGTCTGACACATTTCAGTACTTGACACGATGCAGTATGTGTGTAGTGAAAACGTATAGGCCTACCCCCTCATTCCAAACGCAAACTATGTTGGTTTGTTCCAACTATGGGTCTTTGCCAAAGAGATGTGCTTAAGGATTCGAGATCCGCGACCAAGGTTATGTTTATTTGTATCAAAACAGAATGGTCAACCTTTTCAGGTCCATTTACATGAGAAAGCTTTGAAAACAGAAGTATTACAATCATTAGTCTATGAGGGAATGCTTTCGTGACATGTTATTCAAAGTTTTTATCATCTACTTCAACCGCTTTGGTTTGGCACTTACGACTTGTTTTCACCGCCAGGATAAACCATTTTGCCATATCCAGTTTGTTTCTATAATAAGGATTCTCATTTTGCGCTTCAATTCAGCCCGTTACATTTTGCCGCTCAACATCCTTTTGGCAGGCCATCGACAGACTCAAGCGTTTTTCTGCATAGTTTCGGCAACTGTGATTTTCGGCCGATTTTCTCGAAAAGGACCAAATAAATGTAATTAATGATTTTCTTGTCTGTTACGCACGAAATGTCATTGCTATGAGTCAGCTTTGAATATCAAATTAATTAGATGCAGATTGGAAGTGAGAAAAAAAGAAGATTATTTCATTAAACAGCTTAAGAACAGCTGATAATCAGAATGAAACAATGTGTGGTTGGGGCAGGCAAGAAAGAAGCTTGCAATCTTTGTACAGGCAGATATGTCTTGGAGGCATACACTACCGATAGTCCGATACACCTCCGGACTTGCCTGCCGGACTCAGCAGGCTTACTATCCCAAGCCACGCACGGACAAGTGGAGTTGTGACTGGTCCAGGGTGATGGTCTATAGGGCCCCAGCGATATCTAAACAGGCATGAAGTGGACAAGACTCTCCAAACTAAGTCCCGACAAGTTGTCACACTTCACGGCGCTACACGCCGAACTTGACTACTGTACATAAATCCAAAACACCTAACCCGGGAAATCGACCAGCTTCGTTCTACCGGGTACATGACAATTTTTGGAAGCTCCATACATGAGAAATCAAGTGCCTGTATTCATGTGGAAATTGGTGAGAAAAGCAAAGCAAGAAATACGGAATTTACTGGAACATACAGAAGGATTCGACCGATAGTTTGTAATTGTTATAAAGTTTGAAAAGCCTGTGTGTATAGGAGTAGGCCGCGGGTACAGACAACACTAATATATCATTATGTATTATGTAAAGCGCTTGCTTCCCTGTCTTTTTTCTTTCAGAGTTGGGGTGATTATTTCCACCACAATTTTCCTCGCAGTTGTCACTCCAAACTCGAGTATTCTTTAGTATCAATGAGCGGTTTAATTTGTTACGAACTTGACACGGACAAAAAAGCGGGCACTGTCAGTCAAACTGTGATAAATCGCCAAACGGCGATTATGTTTTCTCGGTGATAAGATCGGGTGGGCCGAATCGCGGGGCTTTTATGTAGCATGTCGCCAGGATTCGACTCGGGGCAAAGCTCCAATGCCACAAAACAAACTTAGGCACTATCATTTGGGTTATCCGCCAGAGTATATTGCCCCGGAGGCCGGTGTTGCATTTGGACTTTTCCCCCTTAGAATTCAAAATCTAAACCACAAATGAAGTTACAAATTAAAGTTGAATCCAACGGACATACCAATAACAAAAACAGTTTGGGTGGTGCATTTGCAAAAGCGTTCAAGAACTTTTTCAAGAAAATAAACGTCAGGAAAACAAACGAAGTGAGTGAAACCTTGCAATAACGTACTGAAAGGCCCCCTTTTTGAGTTATGCCTTGCTGGGTAGTGAAGACATGGGCACACAGACGGACAAAATAACACGCACAAACGTTGAGACTCAGATATCCATCTTGTTGAGTACACATCTCGCCGGCGTCACTCAACGAAACAAATAGCGCGGCGTTTGCTCAGAGACCAGGCACCTGCCGGTTGCAACTCGGTTGATCGTGCGGGGGTCCACAGGCCACATAGCGGACGGGCAAACCCAGCATGCGCAGACCGCGTCTCTGCATTGGAAGCATGACACTCCAGAGCCAAACAAAAGTAAACCCGGGGTATGTACCGGCGTGGGCGCGAAGTCGACTCGCTCTTTTATTCGCCTGTCAAAACCTGCAATTTATTAACTTCTTTACAAACTTTTGTTGTTGTTGTTGCGTCTGTCCTTCTCATGCATTCTTTTTTTCGGGGTGCAGAATTTTGGAGGAAAGATAACAGAGACTTCCTCAATACAAAGGGGTGGAAGTACTTTGACAATTTAGGGCACCATTATAATCAGACATAGATGAATTAATTTGGAATTTGAGAGCACAGACTAAAGTTTTAGTGAAAGATTAGGGCCAGTACAAACCAGCCACTTCTGATAGACGATAAAGTTCTCAAATGGCAACAAAGACAGTCGCATTTTATCACATAGATTGCACCTTATATAGATAAATAGTATTCCAAAAACGCTCACCGCAGAAGTAGTAAATTAGGCCGCACGGCTGAAACCAAGCCAAATGGTACTATCACCATAGTATCCCGTCTCGTCACACGGTCAACACAAGTTCAACTGACCTTAAAAAGATTATTACATGGACATTTGCGTCTGGTATCCTGAGACTGTTTATGTTCTTTTCTAGCGTGCATGGTAGAAGGTATCTGTTACTCTCTTCCCTGATTTCAAAATAACAAAGCTTCAATTTTTCTCACGTTTTCACTTCAGGTTTCATGATAAAAAATCATGGTTCCCCTTCATGTAGGATTTGATAGATGCCTACAAGTGTGACAATTGTCAAGACAGCTGAGTGTGGAATTTAGATTTGACTCCAAGGGAATTTGGTGTATAGAGGGAGCTCATTCATTTCTACTGTGCAACTTCTTTTCGTCAAAGTTACACAACGCATGACCCAAATTTAACTCTGCTGTGACAGATCCAGTGCAGAGATAACGGTAAATTGTCAAGAGAAGCCTAGAAATAACGCTGCCACAACCGAGTCTCCCCCATGATTTAACCGAGCGGGTACTTTTTTGGTAGACCTAAAAACACCATAACACGGATTTTTATTAGGTACTGACATACATCTCAAGAGTCTTTCTTTAACCGCGAAGAGTTGTGGGCGTGGGGAAGTCCGCAACGGACCTAGTTTCGCTCATTAGATCCACAATATTTACAAACAGAAGACGCGAATGTAGGGCTTAAAAAGGACACCGACATCATGACCCGTCTCGGCATAGGCATGGCACGGGCCTGGTCCATACTGAGCACGGTCGCGATACCCACAGGATTTATGCCTCTTTAGGCCTTCTTAAGGTCAAATAATCATTAAAACACATGCAAATGGAAAATTACACGAACACTTCACAGGCAGTGGCGCTATAATGGTGCTTTAATAATATTGCAAGCTGTAAACGCGCAGTCAAACTTACCACAAGTCTTTTCTTGAAATCTGCACTATTCTTGAGCTTTAACCACCAAAATCACTACTTTTAGCCAAACTAAGACCTTGGCAAAAGACCGTAATCACGTGTACTATGCCGAGTTGCTGCGATATATGACCTTCCGCATACTGGCTAATATTAATTTGATACTCATTGATACAGCGGGTTTTCACGGTCCGGAATGGGCTGTCCACTATAAGGCCTCCAATGCTATAAGTGTCCTTGAGGGAAGGATTATATCTGTCTGGTCATGAGCGTAACGATGATTAGATGTTGGATTCTGCAAACAATGATCATACATACAGGTGCTATGTAGATATCGACTATGCATAAATGCTGAGAATTATAGCGATGTATGTAGTTCAACCGCACTCAGGACAGGAAGCCGTGCAGACGAACAAAAATGCACGCATACTGAGGAGGTTGCCTACACCGTTGGCCAAACTAAACCTGATATTTTGTCGAATGACTATGGAGGGTCAAAACATCAGGTTTGACTGTGAATTATCTCTCAGCTGTGGTCTGTGTATTTTACGCTCATCAAAAGACAACTGAGGTAAACTCAGACCAAATCGTGCCGAACATATTTCTGCCAATTATTGCCTCATCTAACTACTTGTATCTTACATCGGTACGTGGTTCAGGATTCTTCCGAATGGTAACAAAACTGGAAATTAAAGCAACTAAACGAAGCAAGCGACAAACCAAGGGTCCTACATTTTAGCCGATGAAATGAAACTTATGTGCATAATTATCCATGTGAGTTTTAACATTTACACTGATTGATGAAACTAACAACGAAAGCGCACGTAGCGATAAGGAGGTAATGAAATGGCAGCACGCACTGATACTGCTTGGAGAAATGACTGCCCCTGTCACCGAAGCTGAGACTATAAACAAGGCGCAGTCGGGAAGTGCCAAAAATCAAGCGAGCATACACTCATCCAAAGGGACGGATTAAGCACTCTGGAGTACCGTCAAAACCATCGTCATCCCGCGCCACTCCACGGGCTTTGTCGGGGAGTTTGTCCAAGGGTTTACCGCGGCTGAAAACCCTTTCAACAAACCAAACACGACTTTCTCGATCTGGTCAGAGAGAGGGGAAGAGAGAGAGCAAACCCCTCGTTCATTTTTTTTTGTCCTTGCTTTTGTACATGTAGTGAGTTCTAATCATAGGGGAGCTTCAATGTGGTTGTTACAAGTTTGTAGAGCGGTTCATGTTTGCCCGTGAAACAACAGCCATTTTGTTTTCTCCTGCCAATATTTTCATGCGTGCTTGAACTACTGCTGATGAGTTTAGACAACACAAACATCAGTGTGAGTTGGGTTTTTCCCCCAAGTGCAATGTTGCGCCCAGTGATATGTGCCATACCTCAAAAACTTAACAAACAAAAGAAATTCTCTTTACAATTGCAATGAATGTTGGAACAGCTTTTGGACAATCTTGCTCCTAAACTTTCTTGCAGAGGTTCTACCGTCTTCCCTCATCTTACTTTCATAAAGAATTTTGATGCTGATTCAGTATATGATGCATGTAACCATACATTTTCTAAGTAAAAGATGGCCCTTTGTTGCACGGGATACAGATCAAAGCATAGAGTCGATACATTAAGTTATACACACTCTCAACGCCATTTGACGGTAATTGTGGATAATCTCGTGTGAAACAGTGACTGATTTTAAGTGTCTCTTTTTTTAAAATACGACTTTCAAAATAACGCCAGTAAGGCACAGTGAATCATCACGCTGTAGACGAACTGACCTTTGTCTAAAGTTTGTCACTGATAACACAATGCTTGGGTCACTTGGCAAAATACTCGTTACAAATGGCCTCGGATTGTCACAAGGTTGTATGACAAGTAACTCGCGCCTTTAACAAGTCTACATATCATAAGGGAATCGATTCCATCCATAAACGAGTTAAGAGCAAATAGAAAATATCAGCAGCATCACATAGCAACCAAAAATTGGCCTTGTTTGTTGGCAAAGAACAAATGTTGCTATTCATGAAGTTTATGTTTTGCACAGTGCAGGTTGAAATATCGCCTGTCATGCACACCCTTTTTAACATGACTTGGGGACCAAATAAAGATAGTTTCATGTTGGTGTCAGTATCAACTGTCCGTATCATTACTACACCCAGTGGCAGTTAAAATTACGATGTACCAAATACGACAATAAAAGGAACAATGCAGTTAAAAGAGAAGCAAGAAGAAGAAAGTGGAAAAGATGATGACAATGTGATCGAATGCAGCAACTCCCTAAAGACTGTCACCATCGACATGTAAGTGGCATTGTATCGATGTGCTTTCTACCCAAACGGAAATAGGCAGTGCAATGACACCGACACCCTCTATACCAGTTGAGAAATCGAGAGTTGTAATTGACCTTGGTTTTTTATGCAGTACCAAAATAAAACAGTCCCGTTCTTTGTCCACGTCAGTGCATTTTTAATCGGAGGTGTAACTTGGGACGGTCGCAGGCAGAACCAACGACAACGGCTTGACAACATTGGCGACGCAAACACGGCCTCAAACAGTGAGTACCGATGTTGACCATCGATTCAAGTGTTACATCGTTCAGCATCACCTAGCATCCGACCAATTCCCCCCTGGGCTCTCGCAGTGCACTTCCAAGATGAATTCCAATGGACGGGGCAAGCCCATCGGACTTTCAAGCCCGGGACATGTCACGTTATATCTAAGTCATCATGGTGTGACAAAAGAGCAAAACACTGGAATGGACATTAAAGTGCTTCGTTCCTTTCTGACGGCTAGTGGAGGTAACTGGAGCTCCGTGACATGTTGGTTTCACATGGCTTGCTATATATGTACGTGGCAAGTACAGTGCAAAGATGGCGTCATAAAGAGCATCAATATTTGATAAGAGTGTTGACCAGTGATACCCACTGGGATTACCCAGTACATGAACCGTTCGAGTTTGATATTAGTATCCTGCCTGCCAGCGAACCTAAGAGGCCTGTTTACCCAATACTTGCATCAACCGCAGCTCCCAGAACGATCGCCCAGGCGATATATGGGGAAGTTACTGAATTTAGGAAACTATTGCTTCAAGGATTGGCACTGATGTCTGTTACTTGTAACGTACACAAACTAATTACTTACTTGAACTATCTCTGTTTACAGTTTGAGACGTTGGTAACCGATCATGAAACCTTCTCAATCAGCTATGTGATATGATGGGACATACTGAAGACATCCACACGTCTTGCCTCGTTCAAACTTTGACGATGTCTGCTATCGTGACAGAGGGGGTTGGCCTTCCAACGTGCAGTTTCATCACCAACAGATCTTGCTCTTGGACCGTTCCCCACTGTGAGTCCTGCTACATCACCGGGCTCAAACTGCACTCTCCCCGCCTTTGCCCTGTCGTCGGCACCCGATCCCAGCGACTGGGCTCAAGTTCGTTGACGGGGATTCGCGCCCCGCCAAATTACCGGCCATAAAGGCTGAGTCTAGCAGGGTATGGGCGTAAATCACTCGGCTTGGCTGACACAAATTGCTCGTTGGTAAACTGATTTTATGGGCGCGCGTGGACATGAGAGGGGCTCCCTTCAACCCCTAATGAGGGTAATTGGGTGGCGGTTGGTTGTTTTGGCGTTGGAACCGATGCGGGCTGTATGGATATGGATACGAAATTCACACTCGCTCAATTATGATTGAGAAAAGGTTGCCAAGCTTGAAACAGACACAATTATATAGAAGATCAATTTCATATTACTCATAGCTTTCCTACTAACCGTGACAAGAGTGACCACACAGAATTTACATAAGCACCTGAAAATAGTTTTGACCTCAAATACCACTGTGCCTGCAGCTAGACGGCTGTAGTCGGCTAATTTACGATTCGCAGTTATTTGCTTTGAGATATACTTGACTCCTTAAAAAGAAAAAAAAGAACGCGAAAAAAAGGAACTTATTTGTTTAATTTTAAGCTTGTTGTATTTAAACCTAAATTGAGTTGACCCAGCTCGCAAAGCAAAGAAATGCCGCTGTATAAGGGCCCACCGCCCTATAGTCCCTTCTTGTACCTCTATAGGGTCATTTGTTTCTTAGCATGGAGATATAAAAGGCAACAAAGGACACCGTATAACTGTCGGGTAAGATCAACAACGGAGAGAGGACATTAGCCTGAATATGCGGCGATTGTACGGTAATAAACGGCACCGCCAAGAGCAGATACCAATGTTGTTCGTACAATGAAGGTGTAATTCGGTCTGAAGTGGGTTTAATGGGGGTACTGCACGGCCCCCACACCCGTAATGTCACAAAGTCGGCTAACAGCAAAGCAAATAGGAACTTTTGTTGTTGGTCTTTGTCTGAGAAGCGTACTGAACGAGTGACGACTAACAATCGGTGGTAAGCGACCGGTCAAAGTCGCTACGGCATGAGTTCACATACATTCAGAAATTAAATTAAAATTGCAACTGTAGACCCAAGATAGGTCAGAAGTCAGGGAGGAACTTATTCTAAAATAGCTGTGAATAGAGTTTATTTTTTGGTCTGCCTAAATCATCAGTTGTATTTCGAATATAGATGTGTCGTATCTTTCCGTGGATATGCTGGGAAAAAAGAGGGGGTATACATTAAGGATTGCCCTTTTTTTGGTATTTCGGTGAGGTTTGAGTCATGTGACCTCAAAGACTTCGTTTGAAGTGTTCGAAACAAGGTCATAATATTGAGGACCGAAACCCGCTTTGAGACCCTTGATACAAGTGCCTATAGTATAGGGTGCCTGGACAGAGGTTGCATAATAATTCAGGCGAACAGGGGCGCGGAGCCGCCATTTTGCTTGATTCGATGCATATTTTTCATGCCATTCAATAATCCCTCGAGCTTCATCTGGAAGGCTTGAAAGGGCAACAAACTGGAGAAATTTAAGAGAGAGAAAATTGTCATTCAGGCAATTTGTGTCGTACTTTATAAAGTATACCAATGAAGAGGACATATCATGCCTTACAGTTGTCGTTATCACAAAGTGATCAGTTTATAAGAACTTTTAAAAGCTATTCACTGAACAATTAATTCTGTTAATGATAGGGGAGGTGACGCAAAACATACAGGAAAAGTACAAGCACGGTTCGAACGCAATTGTTGAAAAGATTAAAGCAATACATTAATAACACTTCAGGCAGAGCTATTCCGTGAGCTTTGAACTTGCAACGATTTGTGGGAAGACTCGACCTCAGATAATCACACGGAAGCAATACATAGAAGTCATTATTCAGACAGCTTGACAGAATTCCCTGGAAACTATTCAACGTGGCCGTTTCAGTTTTAGAAATGCAACACATCTTGTCATATGACTTGTCAAAGTTAAATTGACATACTACAAAACGTCGGTTCATAAAAAATAATGACCGCCGATGATATCTTAAACGCTTATTTTTTCGTCCACAATCATAAGTTCACACTTTTATGCAACATTAACTACTAGATAAGACGGATTTGCTTGAAACATTTGCCTTCAGTGAACCAGCATCTCCCTCACACCTTATTATAACAAAGACGGTACGACTGCAGGCCGAGTACACACTGCCTCGCGCTTTCGTGAGAAGACCGTCCAACGCTTCGTGCAAGATTCACTCCATGACTCTTTATACGTGACTTCTGCTCGCCTCAATCATTCGCCGGCAGTGTACTGCCCAGACTAAATGCTTGAATCAAGGGCTGTCTAGCTCGATGATGAATGCTTGGCTACGCTGCCCAGGAATGAATCTGACGGGAAATATTGTTTAACCATTGCCACTTCATTTGGGCTCATTTTGTTCGGGCTCGGGGAATTATTATCAGTTGATATTTCCCTGGCGGTTGAGGGCGCTACATAGCGCTATCACCAATGTGGCGAGTAACTGAACAGTTTCATGTCACACGCCATTTGGCGTTTCTTCTGTATGAAGAATGAAACCCGCAGTTGAAAAATTGCCTTGTTGTTCTCAGTAGGACCCTTGCCCAAATATGAAATATTCTTCATAAAGTCAACAATGATGTTTGCTTTTCTACAATGTGAAAGAATGAAATCATGCCTCTTTCACATCAGATTAAAAATCTTTCCACGGTTGTACGATTTAACAAACTTGCTGTCGTAAAATTTAATTTAATATTATAACTAGTGGTGTCCGTTAATTCTCCTTCCTTTAAATCCACTTCTTTTTCATCCTCTGTGGGCCTACAACGCACCAAATAATAACACAATAGCATTACTATTAGCACCTTCCATAAAATATTCATAATCAATTACGAGAAAAATCAAGTTGGGTTTTGATAGACGACGAAGAATTGCATCGTTATTTCCAAATCAAAGCTTAAAATTGTTTCAAGTATTGGCGTCTTTTGTTTTTACACGCAATTAATTCTTTCATATGAGATGAGATCGCATTGGCGTTAGGAATTACCACGCTCGATCCTATCTTTCCATTGTCTCGGCTTGGAATGGAGCTGATTTCAAGAGATAAACAGAAACAGGAATAGAAATTAAGAATTCCAATGGCAAAGGAATGCATTCTTTCCAGAAATCTTGAATAGTGAAGATGGTTTATGTCCCACTTGATAACTAAGTTCTGATAACTAAATTTTGAGCATGCAGAATCAGCACACGCTTAATAAAAAAAGGGAAAAAATCTAATGGACATAAAACGGAGAAACTTTTTAAACATAGATCACAAGCAAGAGCGAAATTCCTGCTTGACATTCTGGAAAAACTGAACGTTTTGTTGTGTCAATAAGCACTTCCAACTGAGACCACTTTTTCTGCCCGACGGTGCAGAAGGACCACTCGGTATAAAGAGAGGGGTTAAGAGAGGCAGAGGGAGGGAGGGAGAGAACTCGACCAGACGAAGCACCGTGTAAACCCCGACAGATGCACGGGGGATCTGTTCCATTTCGCCCGGTACAACCACGTCTCTATGGCCCCATTTCCTCGGCGAGGAAATATGGAACAGACTTTCCACGGATCGGGTTACCGAAGATGGACCGGTTTACGGACGGCCCCGTGCCGTGCCGTCAAAGATCTAGACGGTTTCCTATTCTCGTCCTAATCGCTTTAGCTTCGGGGTAACCGAATTTCGAGCTAGCTCGTTTTCTCCCATTTTGACCCTTTCTTCTTCATTTCCTTTGCCAAGACACTCGATACTATCTTATTTTGAGACACAGGTAGTGAGGCGGCAGGCCTTGCTTGCCTATTTGCCGTTTGTATTCCTATACCTCTGTTGACTCTCTCTGCTTTGTAAGATTTCAAAGGTGTAACCTATGAGCAGGTACAAAAAAGGGAACAAGGCCATTTTTTGAGGCTACCGATATTTGGCATCTAAGATTTAAATTCAGATTTTTTGGCTCGATTTATCAAATTATCCTTTGAGATGTAGCCCCAATTATGGATGCTGAAGTGACACGGCGTATGGCTTCAGGATTGACTGTTTTCTTAATTCATTTGATTTAATGTGTTTTATAATTACTTCATACAAAACCGAATTTGGTTTTTGCGTCAGCAGTAGTCTTGCTAAGAAGATGGAAGCCCTCGACCAAATACATATGAATTTCTCGTTGCAGTGTTGTACCGTCTCTAAATGCTGTCTGAATATTAGTCGAGTCCTCAAAGGTACGGAGAACAAAAACGCTGGAAATTTACTGTAATTAAGCAGCTCACCGATGAGCACGCTGTGTGATGTATTGTGTTTGCGTACAACATTTGTCTCATGAACCACGAGAGAACATTGTATTATCTCTAGCAAGGGAAGAATCGTCCGAGCGGTGCATAATCAGTAATTTCGCTAGGCTCCTGTAGATTCAAGGGGCTGCGGAAATTGACTAGATATTCAAGACTGTGTTACCACATACCTTTTCTTTTATAGGAAATGCCGCATACATTTGGGCATTCAACGATCAGATAATGTCCTCGGTGATTGCAGTTCGAGAGTATGAAACAAACTAAAGAAAATTCCTTGCAATTAAAAATGAATCTTAGAATTGTTTGTTCTCGCATACAGGAAGGGTTAGAGTAGAAGTTACTTTCTCCACCCCCGTTATAATTGAATATCTACCCTTCATAATTTCGCCATGTAATGATTTAACTCCGGTTAACTGTTATTGTCTTGTAGCAAAATGCCTGCTTTAGGAACAGCTTTTTTCTTTCGTCAACATAAGAAAAATTATGGTTGATGAAAACTAAATGGATGATTTGGGTCGAAACAAACAGTTAGTTTTGCTATGAGAAGATCATAGTTGACCCGTGGTTGTATTCACTTCGTGTAAAGAAATTCACAAGCACACCGAGTGCATTCGCGAAATCACTAAGAACATCATCTCGCAACGAAAATAAGGGACGGAATGCACTAGCTATGATACGCTGATGCTTGGAAGTCTTAATGATACAGTATTCTTGTTCAAGAGTGTCACTGATTGAAAACAATTAACAACAGTAATAACAATAAGCCGATTTCAGGCCGATTTCATAATTGACAATCTCAAATCACGGACTTCCAATTTTCTTTTCATTAATGACTGACAGAGCG